GACAGCAATTTTTTGTAGTCTGCAACAACCCTTAGTGTGCAACCTGCCTACGCATCTTTTGCTAGAAAACCACTTGTATTTACAACCTGGCACTGATAATTTGTAAAAAGCATTATTGAATATATATAGCAATTCCAAGATTGTGCATAGCATTTTTTTCTGCAGTGATAATGAATGATTATTAAAGAAAGAAATGACACTTTTCAATAAGAAAGTCTCAATGATGCGTCTTTTTCAACACTAAAACTATTTAAGAAAAACAATGGTTTATGTACATGTAGGGAGCATTGTATGTGTGAACTCGATGTAAAAAGCATTGTGCAATTTTTGGTCCAAAACATTGGATAACAACTTGACTTTGACTGTTTTTAAAAAAGTTTTCGGGACTTTTTTTGCACCAAGCCTCTTTTACAGTCAGGCCTGGCTGAAGACTGAGTGGTTAATTCTAGGCAAATAATTGCGTTGCATTTGTTTGTAATGCGATGGTAAATCAAACGCTGCTTAAGTCAATAACTTGATACTAATATTTTATTATACTTTTTGAATAATTATCTTACTATAGAAGTTTGCTTCCTGTCTTATTTGTTGTCAATTTTCTCTTAGTAAAAATTTTATTTTTTTAAGTACGGTACTGTACTAGGAATGTTAATATTCAACCACCAATTTCATCAATTTGAATATATTAAAATATACTATGCCACTACCATGCCACTTTATATTTCCTTGACAATAAACAGCTGAAGCTAAACCAAAAATACAATTTTTTATTTTGTAAATTTGGCTGTTGAAACAGATTATATTGATCTGTCTCTCACTGCTTTTTGTGAGTTTATTGGGCTTTAATAATAATAAATCATTCAAATTTTATGTTTGCATTGTGGATGAAAAAATGCAAGCAACGTTCACAGAGAAATACTGTATATACTGGCCTATAAGACGATCCACGTATATGACCCTCAGTTTTGAAAATATTTTTGTATGTCGGGCGTATAAGATGGCACCGGTTTCATTGTTGAAATTCCTACTTTCTGCTGCTTTTTATGGTTTTGAATACTGAACCTAGCTGGCTAAAAACACAAACAAATGTAGGGCCAATCTTAAGATAATAGCTTCATTTCAGTAGTAAATGATTGTATTAATACAGTGCCTTGTTGAATGCAGTAAGGTACAAGAGAAGAAAAAAAAACCCAAAATCTGATCCCATATTCATAAGTCTATATTTGAAATAAATTTTGCATCAAACATCAAAAACAAGTATGAAATTAACACACTTTCAAGTGTTCTCATTTTTCATATATACATACTGGAAACGACTTCTGTAGGTTCTCTTTCACTATTTTGAAGAATAGAAAAATTTATAATTGATACTACAACCAGCTAGCATGCTATCTGAATTGCAAGTGCTTTCAGTTCAGTCTAAAAACACATTCTTGGTATTGTCTGGTTTCATAGAAATACTGTACTCAACAGCTACAAACGAAATTAACATTACAGTCAGCAACACCCTTAATCATACAATTACATTTTTTCATCTGAATTATAATATTTATATGCAAGGGTAAGTTGGGAATTTCTAAATCTAAAGTTTACCAAAATACTGGTATTGTAATTATACTTGTTATAGTGATCTATTTTTAATGAATTTTAATCTAAAAAACATGACATTGATTACGGTAATGACTTATTTATACTGTTATGTTAATAAGTTCTTCAAGTACCAGACGTGATACACGCTTTGTCAGTCAAGAGCTTCCAATGCTGGCTATATTTCGCCCAAACTTTAATAAAAACTTAATAAATTAAATACATTTATTACATTGTTTTAACTCCTCTTTGCGTAAAACCTGATTTTAAATCCAAATACAGGTACTACTTATGATTACCTTCATTAAATCCCACAATGACAAATGTTTTGATTATATCATCTACACAACTACAGCTTAACCCCACTCAGCATAAATTTCGTGTCACAGGGGAAGGAATTTAAATCAAGACAAATGTACGATCCTATTCTACATAATGATTGCTAATTACTTTTAACCTTTTTGAAAGCATATAAATGTATTGAAAATACGTCGATACAGTCTTCAAATTATTGTGAGTGTTTATATAGAGAAATGTATTCTTAATACACATAACCTAAATAAATTACTTACTTTCTAGTATATGGTACGAAACTTTACCTAAGTACAAATGCAGGCATATTAAACAAATTAAAATGCATGCAATAAATCCCCAAGTTTATGGATAAATGATATTTAAATGTTTATATCTGTAATTGCTTTTGAATAGCGCAGCGCACTGAATCTAAAAACACCCAAAGTTTCTGTGGCATCATTTATTTGAAGTAGGCCAAGCTATTAATAGAATAAACAGTGAATCCATATGCAAGTGTTTTGTACCAGTGAAATGTAGAATTTTAATCATTGAGCATAGATAAACATGCAATTGGTCCAGGCCCCATGTCGGAAAGCCTCGACACTGACAGGGAAGGAGCAAACCATTTTGTCAAACACTGCTTTGAAAAAGCATTTTTACAGCCATTTCCGGGTATCTCAAGGTCCATATATTAAGAATTTACTCCAGCCATGGTGGGGCTGTGGTGGATGTTTCCCCTATCAGGACATTTTACCCCCTCAGCGATGAATCTGTTGCCTTGGGACATAGACTAATATGTTAATTCCATATACTTTTGAAACTTGCATCAGGAACATCATTATCGGACAAAGTTTTTTCAGAATATTGACGCATTCACATCACCGTCGGCAGGTGTATACATCTCGCGTTAAAAGGTGTAATTAGTGCGCTGCGCTATTGCCTACTATTTTAGTAAGTAATCAGGGACTTAATATTAACATGACTAGAATGTTCTTAGGAGTGCCTTATGCTACAGTGCTTGCAAAGGAATTTCAAGGGTCTATTAACATCTGGTTTGGACTTTTTTTTTATGCAAGCGAACCTGATGGAAGATTTTTGTTCAGACGATTTGCGAGTTGTCATATACCAGTAAAACAATTAAAAAAAATTCTAGGTATACAATAAATATTTAATCAGTTACTACAGTAACACTCACAACATTAATTCACTTAATAAATTTTCAACCATGTTGAATTTTTTGCTTTTGAATATCCTTAATTTCTTCTTGCACTTGTTTGGTTTGCTCTGATAGACCTTCCAAAACAAGAATGCAACATAAAACCTGGTGAACATAATGTTTTTATTAACTAACGCATCAGATTCTGTTGCTGATGATAGGTCCCTTTAAGTTCGTACACATCACGTTTGTGTGCTGGGCGTGACGATTTGAGAAGATGGTAATATATACAAGTGTTTTCTTCTGTACAACTACTCTTGACCAGAGCCTTGTCTTTCCAACGTCGATGTGTTACTTTAACAAAATTGTTGCTGGTCGACGTAGGATTCGGCTCGACCACTATGGAATGACTCTACCTGTTTCTTGCCTAATTTCCTCCAGTTTTTGAATGATTAATTAACCACTGCAATGTAATATCTAAAAGAGAAATCATCAATAGTTAAATCCTGTAATTGACCTTATTATAGCTGCTGGATGATGTTTGAAATAAAATAAATAAAATAATAATATTAATAATATTAGGATATATTCCACGCCTTTTACCAAGGGATGCAAAGCGCTGCTGATGTTATTAATATTATCCCTGGTCATCGGATCAATAGTTTAACCCTGCACCAAGTGGAACCTCCTCCCCGTCCTTGGAAGTATTCCAGTCGTGCTTGCAATTTAATGCAGACATGGACTAATTATTTAATGCCGCATCAACCTACCAGCTACCCATTTCAGTGGCAGCTCCAGAATTCAGAATAGTAAGTGAGTAGCGCTTACTTCAATATAACATTGATAGGCTTTGAAATTTTAAACTTCAGTGGCAAAACAGGGAAGGGGGCCAACGGTACAAGCATGATTTGAAATTCCGACCTCAAAGTTGAGACTTAAACACAACCACTGCACCTTCCACTTGCACTTTAAATAATCAGATTAGTCTTGTTGGTACTGTATATTTTAATGCTCAATATTAGAATATAAATTTCAGGAAGTAAATCTGCACTTAAATAATGATTAGACCTATGCCACTTGACCTTTGATTCAAGTATCCATGTTGAGTAATACCAGCCTAGCAGATAGTGTTATAGACTCCAATGCAGCATGCATCGTTGTGCTCGGTTTTCATGAACTTAAGCCTCCCATCCCAATGCAGTGGTTGATTCAGGGAGGAGAATTTTCCCCCTGATTTTGCCACTTCCTGTCTTATTTTTGTAACAGAGAAAATACAAATATGCATACAAATACCAAATGTTACAATATTTCGTAATAGCATACACAGAACACAAATTATACCATTATTGGCTACATTTTACGTATTTATTCGAATAAACGCCCTGGGGAATTTTTTGGGGAAAAGGGTTTTGGATGCATTTGGATTAAATAATAAAATAAAATTAAATTAAACTTTAAAAACAAGACAATCCAACCCAACAATGAAAAAATCAGTAGTAAGCTTACCAATATTTTCCTTGTTTTTACATGATATTGAGTAACAACAAATCTCTCTGTCTTGAATCGCTGACAGGTTCATCCTTTCAATCAAATCTTTCTCATCCAATGCGTCATCTAAATCCTTCTTGTTACCGAGGACAAGTACCTAAAAACAAAAAAACAACAAAAATATCTCTATTTATTAAAAGTCATCTTAAGAGTGATGTTTTTAAATATAAATTTAAAGCATTTAACCATCCCATTACTACACTGTTTACATTCCCCAATACAATTTTATTTTTTTTCCCCTCCTCCATCTGGATTTTTTGGCAAAACTATTTGCTAAAATAAGAAAACAAAATTTTAATTTATACTCACTGGTATTCCTTGTAGCTGTGGTTTGTCTAAGAGGTTATGTAGCTCATTCCTGGCAGCTTCCAACTTTTCGTGATCAGCTGCGTCTACCATGTACCTGCAGATTAAGGAATTGTAAGTAGTGGTTATGGCAAAGGATGTTAGTGGTCTTATAATAGCAAAGCCTACAGTATTTGAAAAATTACTGGGGTGAAAAAGAAGTATGATTTAAAGTTATCTTTCTTGAATATGTAAGCAAGTAATGGTTATGATAGGGATTTTAATAGTTTTATTGGCATACCGTAGGTACATCTATTTGAAAAAAAGATTGGTGTAAAAAAGATGTATGATTTCCTTGAATTTGTATCAGCATGGAATTTGGAGGGCAAAAACACGGTCAAACTAAAAAAATTATTTTTACAATTCTCTGTCGTATGTCATAATGCATATTTACTTACACTATACAATTAACGCCTCTACAATATCGTTCCCACATACTCCGGAACCTGGGCTGGCCGCCAATATCCCATAACTACAATAAAAGACATTTTCTTGGTAATTTATAAACTTAGAAATTAGATCTTCATCTTAAATATTGAATTGTGGGTAATTAGAAACAAAAGGACGTCGGTGTACAAAGTGTTGCTGACAGCTTAAGACTCAAAATGCATGTACGAAAAAAAACATTTCTAGGGTGGGAGGGGCACAATTCACTAGTGCACGTCCACTCTCCCAGACTTTCAGTTTCAGGGGTCGGAACGTCTGCTGGATGTGCAAAAATTATAAACATCTCTTTTTAAACAGAGGTCAAAGGTTGAGTGAGTTACAAAGACAAACAGAGGTCAAAGGTTGAGTGAGTTATAAAGACAATGCACATCCCATGATTTTTTTCAAACTGTAATCCAAGAAGCAAATATTGGTTGATTTATGAGCTTTACCTTTATAGTCACATGCCCCTTGGTCACTTTACGCATGTTGAATCCTACAGTCGGGATCATGTCCTCACAAAAGTTCCCAGACTAAAATTACAAAGTCAAATAATAAATATTGTTTTAATAATTCCCTCTGAATAAACAACAATAATTATACATATAAAATAAAACAAAAACATAAGATAGGCACCAGTTTGGCTAATCATTAATTATCCGGCACCAACTGTCCTCTCGCGATGGCGATAACTGTCTTTATTTATTAATTTGACTGTATTTTTATATATTTGAATTTACGCTAGTTTTGGGTTGCTATTTTATATCATTCAATTTATTCAAAAATGTTTTTGTTTTATTGATGAAAAATGAATTATCAGAACGTATGTATCGGGGCCTAGTCTATAGCCATCATCTAATGGAAATGACTCTATGCTTGAGCTATAAAAATTATTAAGCCTAAGCCTAGGCTTGTGAGTTAGTGACTGTTTTGTGGGCTTGTCCTCATCCCGGGTAAACAGCGTAATTTCGCTGTGGATCATAACGTTGTTTCCCAGCAGCCAGATAAATCGCTGGCCTAGCCTGTGCTTATCGTCAATCCAGGATTTCTTACCGCAATAACGTTAACGAAAGTTGTTTTTCCTGAATATTGGAGGCCGACAAGCGTCAATTCCATTTCCTCTTTCCAAAAAAGGCTTTTTAACCAGTCCAGAATCCCTCTAAAAAACGACAGCATGTTTGTAATGTTCCTACGTTTTACAATACCGAACAACAATTGCAGCAAAGGCTGTACAACAAAAAGGTACTTCCTGCAGCCGTACTATCATGTGATGATATGAATCAGATTGAGATCAGCTGAAAAAATGATTTCAGTATTTAAAATGTTTACAGCTATTTTAAAGTAATATAGTTTTCCATTTTAATCACTAATCGACCGTTTATTTACTTTCATATTTATGTAAATATTTAAAGAATTTTCTATTTTTAATTAGTTATTCTTATGTGGGATAAAATTAACATCTGAATTGAAATCCCGTGACCGGTCATAACGCAGAATACACACACATGTTGTTAAGTTGTTTGTCCTTCCGAGCTCCGCCGTGTTGACGATTATTTTAGTCGTGATGGAGGTTTTGTACAGTCTAACATTTCTACATCTGCAAGTTTTTCTGTTTTGTTTGGCTGTAGTAAACGCAGACACACCAGCAGATTGTAAGTTCGATGATATAGTGGGAAAATGGAAGTTTTCTGTGGGTAAAGGTGGATTTGACAACACTTTAAATTGCACAGATCCAGGTAAGTAAAGTGCCCTCTTGCTGCTAGGCTGGGCTAGCACATTTTAATGAACTTGATCTTTAATTGTACCGGCCCCCCGGGCACGGGGCTGTGGGGACTTAGTCGGGAATGTAACTTACAAAACGGTTGCGTGCATGTGAAAGTCCCGGCCACCTCCCAGGAATGCGGGGCATCGTTTTAACGTACATCCCACCTAAGTCCCCGCCACCTACCGCCCGGAAAATATTTCAGACAGCGTAGTCTGACCTGGTAAAATGCACCATGATAAACATACAGAGCAAGACAAAAACAATTTGAAGGTGGTCCTACACCTGTATCAGAGAAGCACGTACGTATGCGTATCACTAGGCAGATTTTCATGGAAATTTGGAAAAGTGCTAATTGATTGATCATGGAAAAAGAAAATTGATTGAGTGATTTAACTGATTGATATAATTTATTCAGTATCATCAAAACAGAAATTAAATAAGAAAATTAATAAGTAAAGTAATAGATAGACAGATTTTTTTGTGCCATGGCTCACTGCTGGTGTTTTTCTTGATGCAAACTAGGTCAAATACACGGTTCACAAATTTTAACTCAACACACTCACATCACCTCGGTCTCTGTTGTTCTGTGGTGGAGGTTCAAATTTCGTTATGTAATTTATACCGTTCCATGATGGTAAGCCTAGAGTACCGGTAGGCGATTTTTTAATTACCAAACACACAGCAATTGCTGAATGCCAAGTGTAGGAGACTTGCTAGGTAGGGTCAGATCATTTGACAGCACTACATCAGAAACCCCGGCTACTCTTACATCATTCCTGGCACTTTTGATGCCAGTTACATCTACGGGTGAATTATAGGTACGTTCTGGCACTACGTGGACACAACTATGTGTATGTCCCGGCTCACTAACGGCCAGTGCCCCGCTATGACCCAGGGGGTGGGGGGGCTGGACTACAATTGACAAGTGCATAATAATGATATCTGTACAGTAATTAATACAGGCCAGAATCTAGGGTAGGCCCTAGCCTAGGAATACATATTCTTTAGATGTTTTCTTTTACTCTTTTGTTTTTAGGCCGAAGGCCAAGGAATGCCAGGTCGCGAGAAAAAGTCCTGTTACTGTGACAGGAATTGAACCCAGGACCCTGGGATTGGAAGGCAAGCATCTTTACCCACCAAGCTATTCAACTCCACTCCATGTGATATTTGGCAATTTATAAGGGAGTTGAATACAATTGATTTAATGATAATAATAATAAATAATAAAGTTCTCAACAGAACAAGTGGTTGTCATTGACTACCAGAGTAGTTGACAAGCTTCAACTGTGCAAAACACAAGGACCCTAAAAAAAAAACCATGTTAGCTGATCTTATATTTCACTTTCACATTAATTGTTTTTGTTTTTGTTTTCTATTTTAGTATTAGCTAACTGTCTAATTACTTATCCTTTCTTTTACTTTCATTCTATGCTTCCTTAACTTTCCGTGATTCCTATTTACCTACCTTTTCTTTCTTTCGCCTTCATTTTCCTTTTAATTTCCTTTCCTTTTCTTTCCGCTTTTTTCAAATGCCGCCTTATGCATTATTTCTTTAGCTTTAAATTACCTTTGTAATATTTCCTTATCTTTCTTCTTTTTCTTTGTTTCCTATGTATCCTTGATTTTTCTTGTATTTACTTTATTTCTTTTCTTTCCTTTTCATTTCTTATGCTTTTTCATATATATCTAATTTTATCTTATCTTATCGTTTCTTTCGTATCCTGATTCTTTCTTTCTTGTCCTTTTCTTTCTTTTTACCATTTCTTAAGTTGCTTTGAATAACCTTTCTTTTTCTTTCTTATAATTTGTTATTTTCATTCCTTTTTCTTTCTTATATTTACTTTTTTTTCTTTTTTTTTCTTTCCTTTAACTCATAATGACTTATTTTGTTTGTTGCAATTCAGCTGAAAAAGTGAAAGATGTGTCTGTTGAGCTGCTTTTTCCAGACGTAGCAGTTGACCTCGACTACGGCCACAAGGGTCACTGGACGTTGATCTATAACCAAGGCTTTGAGGTCGCCTTAAACAACAAGAAATATTTTGCATTCTCAAAGTATATAACGGACAAGGCTGGCAAGACGCAGAGCTTCTGCAATGAAACCTTACCGGGCTGGGTACATAATATTGATGGCAAGGATTGGGCTTGCTATGTAGGCAAGAAAGAGGAAACTATCGCAACTCCGTAAGTACCGCCGCTACTAACTTCCAAGACAGGCGTTGGCCCCCATTACGCAAATCTTTAGCCAACAATTGATTTTTCCGGAGTATCGGTCTCAGCTGACCAATCAGAACAGGGCAAAGAATGTGTGCGTGTCCAACAAACCCATGTGTTGTGCCACAAACACATATGTTTATGTACATTGCAGGGGCAGATCCAGGATTTGAGAGAGGGGGTTGCAAATGTTTCCAAAAAAAACCCAAAATGAAAGGGGGTCCGACTTTTGAGGAGTCTTTTAATGACCTTTCAGTTCTTCAAAATTCAAGGCTCTTCCCCCCCCCCTCCCCTCTTGAAATAGTTCAGGTAATTTTATCTAATTCTTTAGGCCTATACATAGACAAAAAAAATCAGACATAGACAATATATTATTATATTCCAACAATATTGAGTAGTTAGATATTTGGTTTTTCTTCCATGTATCGATGAACCGATGTGCCTGAAGAACGCACTTTCGTACATAAATTATTACGTCGTCGAACTAAAAACGTGTGTAGTTTATTTAATTGAAGGTCAGTTAGGCTAAGCCTAGTTTGTCCGATGTGCCAACATATGCCTATGTGAGGTTAGCATGCCTTTTGTAAACAAGGACCCAGTAGTATTTTGTTACGTTTCTTCACAGAGGGGGTTCGTCTAAACCCCGTAAACCCCCCTCCCCGGATCCGCCACTGCATTTACTCTATTGCAGTAGTGGAACCTTAGCAGCAGTGTCCCAAGGAGCGTCACTCTAGCAGAATGAAACATTCTTTATAAAAGTCATTTTTTTTTTTGGCAGTGGCTATTTTACACCAGTCTTATACAAATTCTTCTGATTGGATGTTATAACGTTTTTTTAAATATAAATATTTATTTCTTAAATTATTTTTTTTTATATGAGTTTTAGTTTACAGTATTTTAATTTCCTTTTTGGACAATCCTACACAAAATGCTTTTTTGGTATTGTCTTATCTTATTTCTATCACTCATTGTTGCAGAAATGTTCATAAAAAAAATAAATATTTATTTCTTAAATTATTTTTTTTTATATGAGTTTTAGTTTACAGTATTTTAATTTCCTTTTTGGACAATCCTACACAAAATGCTTTTTTGGTATTGTCTTATCTTATTTCTATCACTCATTGTTGCAGAAATGTTCATAAAAAAAAAAACTCCAAAAATAATCTTGATTATTATGAATACAGTGATGATGTTGGTTACAACCAAGACATATATTAATATGAAAATTTTATTTTAAACAATAGTGAGAAGAAAACATTCTATAGAAATAACTTGGAGTTCGTTAAGAAGATTAATTCGGCCCAATCATCATGGACTGCTGGGTTGTATCCAGAACATGAGAAGTACACGCTGGAACAAATGAAAAACCGTGCTGGAGGCAGTACTTCGAAAGCTAGGTATGTACATTAGTATATCTAACTACACACAGCAAATTTTAAAATGAGCCTGTTTAAATTTTTATTGCAGTCACACGCTAAAGGGAGCTAAGTTTTTTATTTCGACATGCTAAGCAACTCTTTTCTTTGGCCTTGTGATGTCAGACCAAAAAAAAAAAAATTACTTTTTCAAACAGAAATATTTTGGGGCATAATCCCAGGTCACCTACAAACCATTTTGGCTGCATTCTCTAGATTTGGGGGGGGGGGTGTTATGACCCTAGACTCCACCAGACTTTGCCTCTAGACCGTGCCCCCCTAATGTCTGTCCTAGGCCCAGAGCTGGTGATGTTATTCAGTTATAATGGTTCATATTATCCTTGAATGAATTTTTGTACTGTATATGCTGTCAGGGGAGCCTAGACTTAGAATGAACATAAAAATACAAAAAGACTCAGCAGTATATAAGATAAAGTAATTGTCTGGAATGAACAATGAACAGTTAAAAACAGAAATAGACATATATTTTTACTTTAGGCCTGTAAAATAAATTATGAAAAAAACAGTTTATTCAGGAGACTTTCTGTTTCATATCTGAGGGCATCGCAGTATTTAAAACTAAATTTCCTGTTTAGTGACTTTGAGAATTTGACAAATTATCTAATGAATATTTTCGACTTCAATAAATATTGCCGCCATTTTCAAACATGTCCCTTTCTAACGTGACTGCGAACAAGTTTTAGTCGGCCATGAAAGACAGAACCCACTGCATCCAAAATGTACATTTGAAATATCCAAGTAAAATAGGAAATTAATAAATTTAAATAAAAGTATCATTGCAGTTAGCAATCAAAAACTTCACCGAATTGGGACATTCATTTATAAATCTTTCACTTTAAATCAATTTAAACGTTACAGTTACAGGTATTGTATGAAATGTTGGTGCCAACAATTTCAAGTTTAATTTGATGGTACTTAATGAATTAAGACAATTTTGAATATTACTATGTGCCCTATTTAAGGCCATGTTTCCATAGCACTTACAATTTCTCCGATGATTTCTCCAATAAACTATCTTAAAATTCCCTCAAATATTTTATCCCACAATATTAGGCCAAAAAAAAAACTTGTTTGTTTGCCGTCATCCGCCGCCCCTTAAAATCCGAAAAATCAGGGGCGGGGTTTTTTTTTGTTGCTAAAATGTTTTTTTTTTTTTGTTAAAAAAAGTCGAATATGTTTTGCCATCGGCTTCTTAGCCCGCCCTCTACGTCCGTTTTACGCTGGGGAACAGTAAACTTTTTCTCTACTCGTGGCGTGGTCAGGCCTGCTCGTTGTGTGTTGGTAGGTAGCTGCAGCTGCACAATGTCGGTTGTTGCGATTTGCACCATATTTTTGGATAAAATAAAAGTAAGATCAGTTTTTTTACGTCTTAAGATGACGTTGACGTTCTCAGATGCGTTTATGTCTTTGAAAACTGGTACTGCGATTTGAAGATTTGCCAAGGATTAGAATAGAGTTTGCCAAGTTCATATTGCCAAGGATTCAAACGGACCATGGCACGAAGTCGAGCCAGATGAAGTTGTTGATGTCATGCAATCCTTATCTATGTCGCATGTGCAGTTTTACTCCAAAACTGCATTTGTTGTACCCGAAGCAGCAGCAGAAGTCAGAGAACAACAAAATGCATTTTCTGTATTGTATGAAGGTAGTAGGCGTAGAGCGCTACCATCCAAGAAATGTGTTGATGGTGAGTACAGAAATTTATTTATTTTTAGTTTATTTCATTTATTGTTTTATACTTTCCTTCTTTCGCGGGCTAACTAGCCTAGGCCTAGCCTAGCCTAAACGCACTGGTACCGCCTCCTCTCCTCCAAGTAAGTACTGTAGTCGTAGCCGTACTTACTTGGCCTAGGCCAAGAGTTAAAATGTACTCTAGGCGTAGTCTAGTGATAGACCTAGGTTAGGCCTGCATTGTTTCCTAGGCCGGTCATATTGCCTTGTCCTTAGGCCTGTGTCTCTAGGCCTAGAATTCTTATTTTACGAGAACGGTGAACAGACTTCTGTGTTCACCGTTTTCGTTACAGCGACGGTGGTTGACATTCGGCCTAGGCCTGGTCCATATTTTCAGTTTGTGCCCTTTTTTTCCTTTTCAATGTTAAAGTCAGAAAAACAAATCTGTTCACAGGCAGGGTGTTGAACCACCGAGAAAAAATGTTCAATGCTGTAATTGAAGAAATGGAGAAGAGAGACCTGTCGCTACCTGCTACACTTGCTGATACTGATGGGTACAACATTGCTTTGGTATGTGTAGTTTTTTTGAGTTTGTACAGTAATCATATTTTTTGGCTTAAGAAATGTCTTTTTTTCCAATATGCAATATTCTGAAGAAGTTGCTTTATTTTCTGATTATTTTTTGTTTGAACTATGCTGAGGAAATGTGCTCGACAACGACACTTTCTGAAATAGTTTTTATTTTAAGATTTGTAGTATTAATAATTTGCCTTCTACTCTGGAGGAATTGGCAACCCATTAACCTGCCGTTATTGTGGTGAAGACGGTGGATCAAGGCCGCAAGAACTTGTTATAAAATACAAAGTGGTCTTGCCCATTTGTGGTGAATGCCACAAGGAGGGTCGAGAATGCCCAAAGTCGCACCCATGTCATTAATAATGCAGGGATATGTAATATGATTGTAGGCTTATATGATGGCTTTGGCAACGTACACTTGTATATTCACAATAAAAATGTTTAAATGAATTAAAGAAAATTTGTGTTCATTCATTTCTTTATTGAAATTCAAACTTTCACAAAAAACTAAATAAAAAATCATACACATATGCTGAGATACCGACATGACCAATATCAAATGAAGCTGGTGAGCTTGACCAGGGAAATATATTCAGTTTATACTGTACATTTAAAAAAAAAAAAAAACAAAAAAAACTTTTTTATCCCACCCCTAATGACATTTACAAACATTTATAAAGACAGTTTTGGTATTTTTCTTTAAAAAAAAAAAATAATAAAAATAAAACTTTTTTCCACCCGCCCCTTCACTTAAATATTTACAATGTGACAGCAAACAAACCATTTTTTTTTTTAGGCCTTATCGACAACAATGCAAAGTGTTTAACACCAAAACATCTGTTTTGTTGAGCTAGCTGCTGACACTTTTTTTACACTGGATGGATAGGCATAGGCCAAGAACGAAATCGTTGCAATGTTGTCTCAGTGTACTACTACAGAGGGAGTGAGCAGACAACGTAAAAAAATTGAAAGCTGTGTTTGGTGTGCTTGCGGTACAATAAACAAGAGGTAGCCTAGTTAGCCTAAAGCCCAGCGGGCATCGTCAACATCGAACGCAGCCTTTTCAGGCTTAAAAATATTTAATAAGTATAGTTGATTAGCCTAGGCCAGTACCTATAGGCCTACTAACTACAGCCTTCTAACTACCCAAATGAATTCTTTGTATGCTGGCCTTGATTTGACATTGATCAAAGGTTATTTATTTTCGCATTTGGAGCTTTTTCCAATAAATTATCTGATTCTCGGATTTTTTGGGCCCCACTTCCGCTGCAAAAAATAACAAAATGGCCGTTTTCTGATAATTTATCGGATAATAAGTCCTGCGGAAACACATACATTCACCAGTTGTCAAGTCATCCACATATTTCTACACATTCCGTTACCGCCTCTAACATCCTCAAGTGCATCTTTTATGGTTTGTCTTTGTGAAATGAAATCAAAAGCATAAAAACGAAAGGTTCACTGATTGATTTCAGATAAGAACGTATAATACGTATTGAACGTATTAAGTATTGAAATGTACTTTTCTCTATAATGATAGTATTTTCTGATATATAAACAGATCAGTATTTGTCCCCTTTCGTTGTATTGTTGTTTACTGTTTGAAGTAATGTTTGCGTTTGTCGGAGGTTGAATCTTGGCCAGAGTGGGCTGTTCTTCCGTCTTATTACTATTGAGAGTGCAGCTTAGCTCAGTCGGCTAATCTGGTGGTAGCCACTATGTGTGCGCTGAACCGTGGAGACCTCTAGGTCCCCAGTTCAATTCCCATTGCTGCCTCTCCTTGTGTTTCAGCTAGAGGGCTGAAATACAAGTTACACGGTAGCGCACCGTCTTTCGGATGAGACATTTAAGCCGTTGGTCCCGTGTGCATTATGGCCCATGTGCACGTTAAAGAACGCAGTACACCTTTTGGAAAAGAGTAGGGGATTGTCTCCCGGTGTACTGCCCAATCACCACCAGAAGGACCCCACTGGAAATAAGTCTTCTTCTAGACTTTCGTAGGCTATCCTTGGTGTTTACACCGAATAAATCCAATCCAATCCAATCCAATCCAATACAACAGGTTACAGTATAGCAGTCAGGGTTCAAATTTCCTCAAAATGCTGCATCAGCAAATAGTTGCTGTCGGCTATGTATTTATTATTCTTTTTTTATACTGAATATTCACTTTCAATACATAGTACTGATTTCCAAAGAGGTTCAGTTCTTAACTAGAAAACTTTTAAAAGCAGATATATAACCAAAAAAGAGCAACTAACTTAACTAAAAATTGAAAAATAGATTTAAAAGGAACAGAGGAAGAAACTTAGGAAAATAAAATATTTAAATAATAAATATGGATATGCAAGGTAAGAGAAAATCAGATTAAATTAAGATGTATTTGAATATAGAATGCTTAAAATTTGAAAGTGTCATAGATTTAAAGTTTGTTTTAGTATGATCCGGGAGTTTATTCCATAAATTAGTAGATCGCTATGGCTTTACCACAGCAATATATTCTTCTTCTACAGCAACAATCAACAGTTTTTATAGTTTTTTAAGGGTAAAATCAGTTGCTAGGCCTAAGCTTGGGTTAGGCAACTTGACAGCTAATGTCTCGCTGTCGATCCAGGGATTTACTGTACCAAAGCAGTGCAAGGTCCTCTCTGCGGTACTATTGAGAAATTTAAACACTGCTAGTACAGTATTAATATTTTTATTATTATTTTTGTAATTTTTTTGTAATAGATATATTATTATTGCATTATTAAATATTATTATTATTATATTATTAATAATATTATCATCATTATTAATATTTCAGTCGTCCATTGACTGCTCAAGTATCTCAGGAAGTAGCGAAGTTGGCTGAAACACTACCTTCAGAGTTTGACTGGAGGAATGTCGCTGGTCAAAACTTTGTCACACCTGTACGTAACCAGGCACAGTGCGGCAGCTGTTATGCGTTTGCCTCGATGGCTATGTTGGAGGCCCGCTTGAAGATCGAAACAAATAACACCGTCAGTAAGGTTTTCTCGCCGCAAGATGTGGTTGACTGCAGTGAGTACTCCCAGGGTAAGTGTGCTATTATACAAATAATGACTTCTCACGAGAGGAACCGTGAAATCTATTGTTGGAGATGAAGTGGAGACCGTAGCCTACTAGGAAGATAGGCTACGATTTCCACATCACCGAGGTGATATAGATTTCACCGTTCCCCGAATCTAGAGCAGTCAATGTTTGTTATAATATAACTCATACATACAGTAGATCGTACGAGACCTAAAAAAATAATAATAAAAAGATTATACACCAAGTAGACATAGGCTTACTTCCTGAGGCTATGCGATCAAAGGCCAATCTCTCTCGGCATCGTAGAGGTCGTGTCTTCTTTGGTGGCGGCCTAGAGATTACATATCGCGACGTCAAAAATAGTACTATCATTTAGATTGATAGTACTTTTGAACTATCATTCAAACCTATGTCATAAGAGCGATGGTTGAAGTTATTGCCTGCTTCATCAGTTTACTAAAATCTATGTACCGTACTTCCTCGGGTATCGTCCCACCTTCGGTATAATCCCACCCCCGACTTTACGCCCAACTCCGCGTACAGGCATTTCCCGGTCAAAGACCCTGGGTATAGTTTAGGTGAGATGGCCTATGTCTAGGTCGGCAAATTTAACAAATGCTCACAAAATATAATTCCGAAATTCTTGTTTTTTACTGTCACTAAAATAAACAAGCTCTGCAGCTAAAAATAAGCAACACTGCTGTCAGTCCCTAAAGAGACACGCCCAGTAGGCTTATCAGATCGTCAATTCACAGCATCAAGACTTGCATGTTCCACACAGACTCTGGCTGCTAAAAATAACTTGCTGTACATCATGCATTACAATTGGACGGTCTCCACATGCGATGGTGATAGTTGGATTGGTTGTTGCTAGGCAAAAAATAAATTACGTCAAGAAAGTTTAGGCAAATTCTGGCCTAGCTCGAGGTAAGACCAAGATATGGCCTCTCTAGCTAGGTGCTAATAGGCCTACTAATTAGGGTGTTCTCTTCCCTTTGACGTTCGAGTAAACTCTGATTTCTTCACCTGAATATAGTTTTTGATAGGCCATTGAATCCTATGGCAGTAACATTGTTCTAATGCTTCTGCCACCTCACAAAACGATCGTCATTTTCGTTCTGTTCATGCACACGGGAATCCCCGGGTATAATCCCTCCCCCTAAAATCGGGCCAATTTCGCGTTTATTGGTGGAGGGGTGGGATTATACCCGGGGAACTACGGCATGCGGTATATAAAAAAATATATATTACATGTACTTAGTTTTCTCGATCGTACAAAACATGCGCTAGGAGAGGCTGTTGACATTGTGTGTGCGCTTGTAAAATATTAAAATATGATGATTTGGAAATGTACGTTTTTGTGCCTAGTCAGCCAAAATTTACCGTTAAGCTTTCCATAGTTATCATACCAAAACTCACTCAATCATTCAAACAAACTGTACCAATGGTTGCAGCAAAGAAGGTAACACTAGGAAAATATCTCATAACTCTCATTGTCACTGTGCGCTGAATTGCATATTGCATGGTCCGTGACTACTGTAGCAGTCGTTGAGAGACAGATACAGTAGTTGTTTTCATGTTTCATCATTCCACAATGGGTGAATTGAAACATAGAATTGGGGTAACCGCTGCTTTCGAAAAATGCTGTGGGTTCTTCAAATTGCACACTAAGCCAGGTGTGTACAATAGATTTCCCATTTTAAGCATTTATCTGAGAAGACGTGGGTCTACCAACCCAGCCCGGGGCCTATCAGCAACTCTATTCAGTGACGATGTTAAGTCTGTAGTTAACAGCGCCCCCTGCATTACCGTTCAGTCATTTGACTTGCCCAAGAAGTCTAGAAGCTGGTGTTCATCATTGTAAATATTTGAAATCTATATTATTTTTGTTAAATTAACAATTTAGTATATTGACAGTATCATTGTTATATTTTGATATAGGGTGTTCAGGAGGCTTTCCTTACTTGATAGCGGGGAAGTATGCCCAAGATTTTGGAGTTGTTGAGGAGTCCTGTTCATCGTACACTGGTAAAGACGGCAAATGTGTCCCAAACAAATGCCAGCGTTACTACTCAGCCGATTACTCATACGTGGGTGGCTTCTACGGTGCATGTAACGAGGCATTGATGCGTATCGCCCTCTTGAAAAACGGCCCACTAGCTGTAGGCTTCGAAGTGTTGGACGATTTCTTCAACTACAAACATGGGATCTATCAACACACAGGCCTACAAGATAAATTCAACCCATTTGAGACCACTAATCATGCGGTCCTTGTGGTAGGCTACGGTACTGATGCGACAACTGGCTTGAATTACTGGTCTGTTAAGAATAGTTGGGGGCCTACCTGGGGGGAGAATGGCTACTTTCGAATTGTACGAGGAGCCGATGAAGTTGGAATAGAAAGTATGGCAGTAGAAAGCTTCCCTATCATTCCTTAAACTTTTAATCATGTATTAATACAATTTTTTCGCTGTCTTTCAAAGCAAGATAATGTTGTCTATGGATTTATATAATGTCCATAACTCATTTCTTACTATTTACCATAGTACTCAGAGAAATATATATATATAGTCATAATTTGCCTCTAAAGTTATATCTCCAGTATATATGAAAATGTATAGGAGTGTGTATAATTCCATTAGATTGTAACAAATTGTAAGGTATATAGATTTTTTGCGACAGAACAGGACATATAAAACAGTTTTGTAATATCAGGAATAAACAACTTAAAAACTTAATGATTAAGTATGTTTTTTACATTATGAAAATATGCCAAAGACTTTATCATCAGTAAATTTTTGTCAAATCTGCTTTAGAAAAAAAATAAATGCATTTTTTTGTGCTAAAGCTCATTTGCTTTTTATATGATTTAACAAAACTGATCATTGTATACCAGTGGCAGAGCCTGGAATTTGAAATAAAGAGGCCCAGGGAGGGATTTGATAGAAGAGTGTCTATGTTTATGATTATGGCACCTCAGATGACCAAAAATGGCACTTTCAGACTTCTTAAAATAAATAAACTGGCCACCCCCTACCCCTTTCATTGAATCCGCCACTCTTAAAATCCGCCCATATTTAAGTGTGACAATATGTTGTCTATAACAACAATCGTGGCTAACTATCCCCAACCTGTGGCCATGTCCAGAATTCTACAACAAATTGGAGATGGTCGTGCACAGTAGTGGCACCAGTGGGGAATTCCCATCAGCAGGCCAAGAGCTGCCCCACCCCCACCACCGGCCAGAGTTCGTCAAGCAGTTAGACGAAGGAAAAAAACCTATGCCAAGCCAACAAATTTCCGGCCATCCACATGTCTCTATTTTTTAAAAAACAAATCTCATTTGGGGTAAGTGGGAGGAAGTTATAATTTCGGTGGGGGAGGGGGAAAGGCCCCCGACGAGGGCAAGGTCGCCGACGAGAGCAAAGTGAGCGTGGTCGACCAATATGAGAATTTAGGAGTTTTAGAGGGTTATTAATCGATTTTATATAGGCCTACTATTAGTATATTGTACTAATACGTAGAAAATACTTTTTTTTTTCTCCCTGACGAATTGAGGTTTTTTTTTCTTTTTGAAGGGGGTGGGGAAAAAGGAAATTTTCTGTGGGGGAAATTTCTCCTTGGGGGCCCCCTTCAAATACCGCCGCCACTACTCCCACCTAAATGCCCCATGTTCTTTTATGCATTGTCACACATAGATAAGAAATAACAACGCATCGTTCTAGTGACATAGGCCTATATAAATTTATGTACAATATTATATACATACACGAGAACCGTACTCGATGTAATCGGCTGCATATCATCGGCAATTACTGCATTCAAGTGCACCTCCTAGTTCCGTTACCTCTGGGTTTTAAGTTTATACTTGCTACGTCGGATGGGTAATACGTTACCGTATGGTGTTGACAAGTGATCAATATCATGAGAATGCTTATTTTCATATAGTTTATGAACTGAATATATTAGAAAACTGAACAATGGGGTTTGATAAATACAATTTTTTTTTATTTGTCACCATTTTTATTCGATAACTCCTACAGAACAAATCTGCAATGAAAATGCCCAGATATAAAAAAATATAACGGTAGTAGTATAGTACCCCTCTAATTCCGGGATCTTAAAAATTTGAGACCACTTTTTCAAAGAACCAAAATCCGAACAATTTTCAATCAAATTTGAGAACAAACCACAAAAACACCCTGGCATTTCAGGTACCAACTGAGGTCTCGATTTGGAGGGTGAAATCTATAGTATAAATGTATAAGAATAACGCAATTCATTCCCAGATTTAAACAACTCTGGAAACAAGAAATATGCAAAACAAATATATAAACTGCAAGTGTTGAGCTCAAAAGACAATGAAACCTATTGAGTTTCGTATATTGAAGAATGTTAATTGTTCTCAATTAAATAAGCGATTGTTTTTTCATCCCTAATTCATCATTTATATATATA